TGCAATGGACCATAAAATAATGATTTTTCATAGTCTAATTACATGGCCAGAGTTTCAGAGGTGCTGGGGGCACCTGAATTTCACAGACTCAACACAGCTGCAGCAAATTGAGCCCATCAGCTCCTTCATCTTCACTGAAAGGCATTTCCTGCTTTTTAATCACCCAAGTCATCTGTAAGACAAGCATACGCATATATATAACAAAACACCTCCTATTAAACCAACTGATGCAGATCATTCCGACTGTCGACTGCCTCAGCCTACAAACCTTGCTTCATTTGCAGAAACTAATGCTCACAGGAAGTCTTTAGCCTACGTAGAACATCTGAGTGCCCGTTTCTCTTCAGAAAATGGATGGAGAGCAGGTGCCCAAAAGCCTTTCCACCAAATACGCTGACAACTCTGAAACGAGATTTAAGCAATTGCTGGCGTTGTGGCGGTGACTCGGAGCATGCCAATCCCATGCTTGGCCATGCCTGGAGATGTCTAGAATTCTCTCCATTCACATCTAGTGCTCTGGGCTTAAGATTACACCTGATTTGAAGCATCCCCTGGCTAAATAATACAAGTCATATAAGCTGATGGCATCATGCAATGTGCAAGCGCACAATAGTAATCACAGCTAATGACTCTGCTAAATGCTAGGCTGCACACACCTTCTTGTTTGGTGTTTGTTTTGTATACAGAAGGTAACATTGACTGAATAACGAGGATGCCAAGTTACAGATGGGGTTGTGGAATCGTATTTGACAGCCGATTAGAGTAATCTGACAGAAATGATGACTTAATCACCACGACAGACTCCAAATTCCCAGATAGAATTCCACCCAGGTTAATCTAATTTCCTTGCAATATTTTTGCCAGAAACAGACTCTTAGCCGTCTTGTTTTCTCCCATGCAGATGTCACATGGCCTTGACAAGAATGTAAATACGTGATGTTAATATTGTCAAAAAGATGACTTTGAGGCTCTAAAGCTGGGGAGGATGGGTGCCTTTGAGAGGTTTTTGGGTTACTCTGCAGTGATTTTTTTCTCTAATGAAGTTATATTTACATATGGTAGGATGTACTCAGGAAAAGGAGGTAAAAAAAAGATGTAACTAGTCAATTGTAATTCTAGGCCATGGCTCAGTCCTGCTGAGCCCTTGACATAGCCAGCGGCCAGATTCCCATTGATTTCAGGGAGATTTTCAGGATTGCATGTTTGACAACTGTTTCTTTTCCTTTTTTGTTCCTGCGGACCGCATCAGCACCCCTGCTTGGGATGTGCCCAAGGAGAAGCGGTGCCGTGCTTGGCCTCGGGCTTTGCGCGGCCTCCGTGACAGCGCAGGCAGGGGTTCGAGCCCCGGCTTTGCTGCCAGCACTGCCGCAGGGCACCGCACAACCTTGGGCAACAGGCATCTGCCTGCTCTCAGTTGTAAAACAGTGGTGATGGTGTGTTTGGAGTCCTATGGAGAGAGAGTGCTTATAGGAGAGGTAGGCCCTGCCTACCGTCTGCACAACTGTATTCAGTAGAGCTCTATAAAATATTGCCGAAGAGCTGTTCTTCCCTACAGCTCGTACTCCAGTTTGGAGTACGATATCCCCATGCACATCCCTTGCTGGGGAAAGCTGCCCACACTCAGAACTTGCCTGAGAACTCTCTTTTACTACAGGGTCTGAGCACAGGATGATGTTAATGTCTATGAATTATTTACTGCAGTTACTTTTCTCACTCTTGCCTATGTATTAATTGCAACTGTGCATCCATGAATACTGTATTTTTATAAGCAAAGCTTTCTTCAGGCACAGAAGAAAATGTTTCCTGTTTTTCTGTGACAACGTGACATACTGAGAAATCACTTACCTTGAGATCTGTAAGTGTATGGCTTTGTGATGTATAGCTACAATAACAGCTTTCTGATAAGACATGAAATCCTTCATTTCAGTAGATGACATGATTCTAGTGGGTGGCATCTAATTTGAAACAGGTTTATATCATCTATAATCTTTTGGAGGGCCTCGGAAAGCACAGCTATTTTATTATTTTATAGCCTGCAGTTGTACAAGCAAGATATAAAGCGCACAGATTATTTTCTCTTTTGCTCATTGTAGACTGAAAGGATAGTGCCTATTTAGCCATTGTCTCTGCCCCTTTAATTTTCTTATTCACTGCACACTTCTTTGAGATCCATTCTTTTTTTTTCTTTTTTACACCTACTTTTAAATATTTTATGGGTAGAGAGCTTATAATATGTATTGTCACGGCAGTTGTCTCTAGAGGTCAGCAATGAGTTTAATAATGAGATGCGAACCAGTGACTCTGTAAAACCCATTTCAGGTTATAAATGGCATGTTTTATTGAAACTAGTGTTAAAGGTTGTTAACGTATCAATTGGTGATGGTCAGGGTTAAACAAGCTTCAACACGAGCCCTCTCATGTTAGGAAACTGTCGGTAACGTATTTTTCCACCTTCCTCTTTGCTGAAGCCATGTTTGTGGATCGCATCCATTTTACCATGGGTATTCTGCAGTTCAAACTCTCCGGGCCTGATCTGAATCTTCGATTAGTTTTGCACCGCTATCATCTTGTTAAGCGTAACAGCATCACTCCTGACTTTGTCTTGCTGGTGCAAAGAAAATTTGGACTGTGGGTTTTTAGCAAGAACCTTTGAAATGAAGTCAGAACCCAGTTGAAGCATCTTTTTAAACCTTGCCTTTTGCTTTGTGAACGTAACAGATTAGTGACTTAATGAACTTGGGGTAATTGTATATAACAGAAGAGGACAATTTCTGACATGGTAACTGTGCTTCTCATGTAACACTGGTCTTCATGTTGTGTCCATGGGCCTGCAAGAATAACTTCTTCACTTGAATTTGGTCTAAAGTTGGCTTCTTTGCTTCAGGCAGTTTGGAAAGTGGAAGGTTTTTAACATAGTTAGAATTGCCTTTATTCAAAATATTTCCACGTAGGGGCATATAAATGCAGCTGGAAAAAGCGATAGATTCTCTGTCTATGAAAGGGCTGGATTTGGGTTGGGTTTTTCTTCTATAACCTGCATATTCTCAAATTTACAATACTCAATTTTCTTCCCTCTGTTTTCTCACCACTCCGTGGCTCCTCAGAGACGTCAGTACCTGCAACAGGCTCGTGGAGCAAGTGACTCTTTTTTTTCTTCTTTCACTTTTGACTTGATGAGTGGACATGCTGCATCACACTCCCGTGAATTTAAAGTCTTCTGCAATGCCCAAAGTATTGTTGATGCCAAGATAAATGTTAAGCTGTAGTTAAAGAAGATAGAGTACAATCGAAGTTACTTTTTTTCTATCAATTAGATCGAATAAGAGTGGTGGCAGACAAGTGCTGGGCTATTAAAGTCCGTTTGGGAAACAAGTGATTCAGAGAGAACAGAATTGTTAAAATTGAAGCAAATTTATGCATCCTGGTGACTACATCCACCTTGTGGCTTTGCGTTTTCCTTAGGGCATGGTGGGGAGTTTTGCGAGCAGTACGAGGAATGCATTGATTTGCAGGGCCAGGGAGCATTCTGGACTTTGAATAAATCTTATAGAAACATTCACAGCAATATTTTATATTTTCTAAAGAATCTAGCAACTGCATCCCTCGAGGGTAAGTGGCTCCACCAACAGCAATGCAGATTTGGTTTTCTTTGCTGCTTTGAAAGCACATTTGATATGTGTGCATGGTTGTTCTCTCCTGCTCAGCTGGTTTTGTTTCCCAAAGTTTGCCATAATAGTCTTTTATAAACAAAAATGGAATTATCTCTGACATTTTCAGGCAATACTTGGCTCTACTGCACTGAAAAATGATACAAAAGCAGAAAGAGCATAGATTTTTCATGTGCTCAGATGAAATGGTGAGGAGATAAAAGGCAGTGGCCCCAGTGCCAGAAGGTTTCTGCAGTCAAATCCAGAAATTCTGCAGAGCCCTATGGAAAAAAAATAGGAGTGGTGTTTTTTGCCAGCTTATACATCTCCCACATTGAAACTCAACATAAGGTCAGTTCTGAAGGCTTTTGAGAAGCTGTAACAAAATTTCCCCGAACCCACCATAGTGGACACAGGTCTGGCTATAGTCAATGCCCCGTGGAAATGGCACATGCTCTGATCAGAAGGAGCTCAGCTGTTGTGGTGTTGCTATTCCTGAAACAACAGAAAAGGCCGTCCATAAGAATTTTGTTGGAGTGATCAACAATTCAGTGGGGGGGGAGCATCATTTAGTGATGAAAACTGAGGACACACCATACCGATCGTGCCATGGTAGGATGCCATGGGATGTTCAGCGTAGCGTGCTGCACACAGGGCTTGGTTTCTTTTGCTGTGAGAGGGACATGAATGAAGGAAGAGTTTGAGAAGGAACAAGTTTTAGGAGTTTTTATGGAAGCCAGAACTGTGCTGTGTTGTGATAGAAGCTTTATGAATGAATGCATAATGTATTCATGTATTGTTAATTAAAAAAAAAAAAAACCAAACAAAAAAACCGCCACAAACTAAATAGTTATAGGAAGCTCTTATATGAAGCACAAGTCTCTTCCGTCCTGAAAGAATCAGCACATGTTTTTTTAATTACAAGCAAAGTTCGTTTGTCAAACTCAACTCCTCTGAGCATGTTTGAAATGCTTGCTAACTCTTAAATTACTTGAAAATTCCATCTCAGTTTTGGCAGTAGTTGAGCTCAAGGAAAAAAAGTTGGTAAAACAGAAACCAAGCATGCCATAAACTAATGAGGGCTGTAACTTTAGAGGTCTTCTGAAACTAGATACAGCAAATTAAAGTTTTATATGAGTCCTGTGGGCCCAATGATCTATTTTCCTGGTTGTAAAAAGCTGCTTTACCATTTTATTTTTTTCTTAAAAGCCTATAATATAGTATGTTTTGTATTTATATTATTTCAACATGTTTAATATTAATCATGTATCCTTTAAGCCCTTCATTAAAGACATGATTCTTGATTTTTATGACTATCCAACCTGCCTTACTCTCTTTCATTTTTGTTTTTAGATGCATCATCCTATTCAGATGAAACCTGCAGATAGTGAAAAGTCAAATGGTATGTGCCTAATTTATTTTTACTTAATTGTGTCTCTCTCTAAACTACAGTAAACACAACATTTTGAGAGTTTTTGCTTTACTCCTTGTGTGCTGAAAACGATATGAGGTAGTTACGCTACACCTGCCATGTTGGGGAATATGCTGACCTGCTCTGAATTCCCATTTATCCTCTGCTTTAAAGAAGGAAGGAAATGTTCTGAAAAACAGTCTTCCTCATACCTGCTGCATGTCACGGCCTACCTCGCTACATGTGTCTTTCCCTTGCGTTCTCCTAGCAGTGAGGTGATGCAGGAGCACCTGCTATTGATAAGATGGAGATGAAATTTTAATGGTGAAAAGAAACAAAAAACATCCCCATGTTAACAAACGACGTAAGCAGCTGATAGACCTTAAACATTTGCCTGAAATTCCTTTTTATAGAATTATGCTGTTCTGAATCTGAACCAAATTTAGGTTTTAATCATATGCTTGTTTGTGAACTGGGAAACCCACCTTGAAGCTCTCTGTATACTTATTCCTCTCAATTATTGTAAAATGAAAGCTGTAATGACAGTAATATCCATTCAGAATACTAGGGTACTGCCTAAGTGGATGTATATAACATGCAAAATAGACAGCATGCTAAATCTATTAAACATGCCGGGTTTGTGTATTCAAGGAAATAAGATAATCGGATGGTAACGCAACCTGGCTGTGTGTGATTCTTTAAAAATATATACATGTGTATATTTTGCCCCTTGATTTGTTCCTGTAATTTTCTAAAATATATGTTAAAGATATCATCTGCCTTCTTAGATTGCAAGAGGTTCATTTTCCCATAAGGCCCACATAATCAGAGCCGGTTCCTCCAACAGGCATCTTTGCACCTCATTAATTAGTAATCAGGGCAGAAGCCGTGCACTTAGAGATCTACATACCTGCAAATGTAAATTATGATTGGGCTCTAAATCTCTCCGCAAGGCTTTTTTAAGGCTTCTTTTTTTGCTAATTGTAGTGCATCCCATTTTCAGGCTTCTCCAAGGATTACAAAGTTTGGAAGGAAATTAAAAGTTCACATTATGCTAGCTTTTTCATTATGACAACTTTCAAAACAACACTGGCCCAGGAAATTTGAGCCATCCCCCATTTGTAAAGGAGTGGTGGTCTCTCTCTTGGGTTGAGTTTTAGCTGGGAGTTGTTGCTTTCTTTGAGTGCTCAGAGGAGATGCCAAGGCACTAGCATGGGCAAGAGGACCAAACTTTTCAGTCATCGCTATAGTCAAAGAGAATTTTCTGTTAGAACCCAAACTTCGCTCCCTATTTATTGTGCTTGCAGTGGGCACAACTTTGCCTTAGGTACAGGAACATTGGCCTGGACCCTTTGAACCAAGTATGACCTCTGTGGGTTCTTCTTTCAGGGAGAAATTTCACCTCAAGTTCCTTGGCAAGTTAGAAAAATAAGAGGCAGTGGGCCAAAATAGACTCCCAGTTAGTTACTTGTTCATTGCCTGAAGTTATTCTTCATAAAGGAGATTGAACATATTGGCAAAGTGCTGTGAGGAATCATGCAAATTCTGTCTTGCTCTGAAATAGCACCTGCTTGGAAAGCAGGGTAGGTTAGCTCCTCACTGCTGCTGTTAGACTGGGATTGTCTGGATGATACTGCTGTCTGCATTGTGGAAATACTCTTAATCTTCTGAGTGTTCTCCTGCATCTATCTCTTGTCATGAAAATTCTGAGGGATTGTCTTTTTTTTTTCTTTTTTTTCTTGCCTGGCTTTGTATTTTGGGAAAACCACACTGACAGATCAGAAGTTGGAATTGTCAAATTAATTGCCTTTTTAAATTTAGGCTCCTGAGGGGTGTAGATACTTCTGGTCGGCATGTTCAGGGAGGTAATGAACTCTTGGTTTTTTAATGACACTGGAAGCAGATTGAGAACTAATACCATGATGATGGTAACAATGGTACAGGTCCCTGGAAGGATGGGATTTAGGCATGGGATCCGTGGAGGAGGTGAGAGTTTGCAAGCAGCTTGGAGAGCCAAAAAGAGAAAGAACAGCAGCATAGGGGATGCGGAGGCCTATTTGGCACGTGTTCCCCATATGCTTCAGGCTATCCATCTGAGGAGGTATCTTATCTGTGCCAACAACAAATTGTAAACTGTACCTCTTCAACCAGATTGGTAAGTTCAAAGGGGAAAAGAAAGAAAGCATGCCAAGGCATCTTGGTTTTCACTATCCATGGTGTTTGAGCATTTGAGGAATGATTGAAGCCCTTTGATGTGTAAAGTGGTGTTTCTCAAGTTTCAAAGAGGTTGAAGAAATTCTCTTGGTCAAAATTTCCAGATAGCTTGTGGAGGGATATGTATGAGAGGTTGAACACTCCTTACAGTTCTTCTGAGCTTGCACATGTTTGTGAAGGCTTGAGAGACCTGTTCAAGTTCCACAGGAAGGAGGGAGAGGTCCACTCATTCATCTTACAGAGGTTTTCAAGGAACAGTATTTGCCCTGTCCCCTCCTCATCTTGAGTCCCTTGCAAAAAGGTTTGAATAAGCATCCAAGCCCAGGAGTACCAGGATGAAATGGTCCTCCTTCCCCATCACTTTTCCTGTCTTTAGATGCAGGCATCATGTCAGAAAACCGTCCCTTATCACAGAAGGCCAAGCTTGGCTTGTGAAAACTGGGAGATGGGTAAGGAAGAGGCACCTCCTGCACAGCTTTGGCTGGGCACTTCCACAGAGTTGGGACTTTCAGCAACCCGAAGATCTGTTTTCTTCCGGGTGGGAACTGGGTGGCTGATACATCTGTGCAATCATATCCATTCCTTCCCTGTGTACAATAGCTCCTGTGTCCAAGTCATCCCCCTGCTCATGTGGATGAAGCAAACCGTAAGTTCTTCCACTGAGCTTTTTAGCAGCTAGAGTTGATGGGGAAGGGCTTGCCTTTAGATCTACTTAATTTGTCTTGCTGTGAGGATTCTGAAAAGCCTTTTGTTGTTGAGAAATATAACATCCCTGAAAGATTTTCAGATGATGAATTTTGTAGTGTGTCCTGTTCTGATCAACTATTAGGTCTAGTCTGACCACCTTTATAGTGCTAGGTGGTTATTTTAACCTATCTACAGAGTTTTCACTAAGGATTACCTACAAGAAAAGCATGGCTTCAAGACTTTGAAGGCGCCACGATTGCTAGATTCATCTTGACTGTTAATCATTCACAGTATTTATTTACCATTTATTTCCCCTTTTTCCAACAAAGGGTCTTCCTGTGCTCTAATGCTGAAAAGCACATGAACACGTGCTTGACTCCAAGTTGTCTGTGGCCATTGACATGCTATAATTTAGCAAATGCTTCAGTGTTTCTTGGATCACGATTTGAATACAGTCAACACTTTCAGGCAGATATCCTGAGGACAGTAGGCTTTTAAATGGTTCAAAGCATCACCACTTTTAGGGAAAATTACAAAATTCTCTAATGAAAAAAAAGAAAGGGGGCGGGAGTAGCTGAGTGATCTTATAATTTATTTTTCATTTTATGACTGAAAACTTGAATAAATAATTTTGAAATTCTAAGTGGCACAACTTTGCCAGTTTGGAGGGAGTAATTAAATGCCATATGTTAGCACTAACACATAGAAAAGTTGATAATTAATGCGGGCAGCTCCAGATCCAGGTGTGACTTTGACAGATTGTGTGCAAGGATTTTTCACAGGCTTACAGATAGGGATAAAAAGTCTGTTTTCCCCCTTCCCTTCTGGATTTGAGAGGAAAAAAAAAAAATATATATATAAAATTAACTCTTTCTTGATTTGCTCAGAAGAGAAGTCAACTTCTCGATGGAAAATGCATTCTTTGAATTAATACAATTATGATTTTCCAGGACAGAATTTTTGAGGTTTAGAAGAGAAAAGGAAAGTTTGTTGAATCTTCAGGGAGATTTCCCATTATTATTACAGGATTTAATTCTTTTGTAGCTTACAGAAAATACTCTCAATGCCTTTATTCTCCTGGGTTAGCACAAGCTATCTAATATAGCCTGCAAGAAATGCTTATTACTAAAGGAAATTGGGTAAAGCTAAAAAATTAGACGCTTCAGGATGTTATTCTGCAAGTTGGATGTAGTGCTGTCAGAAGGCAGGAGAGTCCAGTTTGAAAGAAGCCCCTCAGCAGAGAGAGACTGAATTTCAGAAAACTTTCAGTGGCTAGCATAGCTCTCAGGCTTCAAACATGATGCTTGGGCACCCATGCTAGTGCTTGGAGAGCTCTTCTTGATGGAGTTACAAGAACAACTCATCTCTTCTTAAAACAGAGATCTGCACATCATCATGCAGGGCTCCTGCATTCAGGCAAAAGATTCCACCCAAATCCAGCAGGCTTAGCACTTGATGTGTCGCACTAGCTGCCCTGGCAATGTAACTGACTTGTGTTTGTAATGTGTTTGGATGGATTAGAGATGAATGCCATAATTATTTAATTGAGATACTATGCGGTTTCACAACTTGGTTCATGTCACTAGAATTTCAGGCCTTCTTCACTTTGACCTTCTGGCTGCTGCTTCTTCGTAAGTGCAGGGCACTCAGCCACCCCATCCTACCAGCTCCTTTATGGGTGGTTGTATGTACTTCATGTCCCCAGAGTGGTGCCGAACAGACAAACTACAACTAGCCTATGAGCAAAGTCCAGAAATAATGGCATCAAACGCTTGCCAAAACATTTCCATTACTTTTCTGGATTTTTAATTATTGAAACCTACCCCTAGTGTGGAAGAGACAATCATCAAGCAGCAGTGAAATGCTTATGAGATATGTTCACACAGCTGCTGACCCCTGGGCGCTGTTATCCTTCCTCCAGCCTTTTCCTGCCTGCTTTCATTGCCCAAAGCACTCCCAGCTCCCAAGCTTTGTCCAGTCCCTCATCACTCACTTATACCTCCTGTTGCTGCAACTGGAACTCAGGACATCTGTGTGATCATGATGACCAAGTTTTGGGAGTTGTCTGGAAGGTAACATCCCTATCTGTTGTCAGCGGTGAGGGCGAGGTTCCCATAAAACAGGCCGTCCCATCTTGCTGGGAGAGATGAGATCAGTCACTCTGGAGGAGCTGATCTCTTGGCATTGACAACAGCCAGTCGATAACATTTTACCTGGGACTAAGGCTGGACATCTAACCTGTAGGTGACTAAAGTTAGGTGAGATGGCTCTAGATTCCCACCCTTTCTCCAACCAGCAGCAAGTAGCACCTTTCCCAGTCTCGACGCTTTGTTGGGTCACACATGTTTAATGGTGGGCTCCTCATTTTACAGTCTGTGGGAGCAACATGCACAGGTATGTCAGCAGACTTGGCTGATCTAAAGAGAAGCTTGCTAACCTATAAATGCTTTTGACCCATTCTTCTTACAGTCCACTTTTTATTTGATTCTCAAGCCATGACTGCATGGCAGGTAAGAATTCATTTTAGAAAGAAAGAAGGTGCTGGCCAAAAATGCAGAAAAAATCCAGACATCCAGTCTTACAGAGATGAAAAAGCATTCCTTTCTCTGCATGAGAATATATCATTAAAAACTCGTTCAGCCTAATAATATCAGATGTTCTATCAGATGGAGTGAAAACATGTCATTTTGATCCTGACAATTGTCCCTTTAAATGTTTTTTATGCTGGGCCCCTAGCCAAAAAAAAAGATAGCAATTTTCTTAAGCTTCAACACTGATCAGCACTGACTAATAGCACTGAATGCAGAGCACGTCATCATATCAATATGTTTTCTGTACTCTGAGCATTCTTCGTGAAATCTGCATTTTTAAGATGCATGGGAGCTGGATGTTTAATTTACTATAAAATCACCCTCAAGCTGAAAACCTGCAAATCATGTTAGTTAAATGGCATATTTATAGGTTTACTAGCGAAACTGAAGGAGGCCGGTGGGGAGTTTGTCGTCTGCTACTCTTTGGAAAATTAAAAGAAAGCCTTCCTGTTTGCATCTCATTTCTTTTGAACCTCTGTGTGAATCTCTTTGGCTTGAGTCTTTGTCATTGCACTTAAGCAGGACCTGAGAGACCTCCCTTAGGAGGGGTTGGCAGGCATTTGTCCAACTCAGCCAGTAGCTGGTTTTCGGAGAGGGTTGGGATCTAGTCACCCTTAGGGTAGACCTGCACACTGTATTTCAAGCCTAAAACTAACCCAAATTTAAACTGACTGGAACTAGCTGAGACACAGGCAGAAGGTAAGGGGTTCATGACACAGAGCAGAAGGCAGTGCTTGGACCCGCGCTTGGCACCAAGGCTTCTCCCCACCTGATCTTGGACTGTGGTGTGGAGAAACCCAGACCTGGCAGCCTGGTTGGGTCCCTTACCTCATACCCTTTCCTGCACCCTGGCCATAGTGTGTGGCTGTTGTTGAGGGGACAGGCTGGCCAGGGACCTTCCTCAAAGAGATTACTCAATGTAAGCAGCCAAGTTACCAGCGAAAGCGGCTACCTAGATTCTCCTTGTGGCTGTGAGCAAGGCAACTCAAGTTTTACCATCCTTAAAATAATTATTAACAGCATTAAGGCCAATTATGTATTATGAATCAGATGAAAAGCTTCTTTGTAAGACATAAATAAACATATACAAATGCCAACTTGCAAGTCTTATTTGCAGTCCTGCATATTCAGCTCCTGATCTGTATAAAACTGGCTCATCCAATGCATTCATCATTTGCTCACCCTTTCTGCAGGGTAACCTGCATGTGGAACATCAGTATAAAGAGTGAATTAAAATATTGGGTCTTGAGGAATCTCTGATGAGAAAAATTTCTCCTGGTTGTTAAATTAATACCAATTTTCTTGCAAGCTTCTAGAGCAAGAAGCTGGGATTGTAGGGGCTGGTCTCTGTTTTGCATTCTGAAAAATGCGTGGTCTTGGTGCTTGTTTGTATAAAAGCTGCAAACACTTTTCAGACTCGGCAATTCTAAGGAAAAAATTACTTCAAACACCTCTCACGATCAATAAACATGAACCTCTTCTTTTTATTGTTGAGATTATTAAATGCACTTAAAGTGTTGAAGTATAACACAAATAACATCCTGTGAAAATAAATGCAGTTTCTTCTTCCTCAGCTGCAATTTATTCTATTTGACAAACTCGTACCAGTACAGGAGAGAGAGTTGGGGAGCAAGGGAAGATTTTTTTTTTTTGTAAGCCCAGAAATGAAAATACTTCGTTAGAAAAATAATTTGTACAATAATAGAAATAAGTAAGTGCACTGCAGACTCTCTGGAGTAAAGCTTTCCTTCTCTCTTTGCTTCCCTGCAAACTCTGACAGTCTGCTCATTAACAGTGAATTGGATTTACATGCCATTTCAAGAGAGGAAGAAAGCAGTGGTGTATAAACTGTATAATAAGCACTTACATTTTTGGTTTAATGTAGATGGGAGGGTGCGTTAACATTTTTAAGTCTTTCCAGGGTGAATTAAGATTTGATGACCTATTTCATTTTTGACAAGAGTGCACGGCTTTAGGTCTGTAAATTTGAGTTTGATTAACAGGACTGCATGCGTCCTGCTGCAGCAGTTTAGCTTTTTTGCTGATTTTGGTGACAATGCAGGCAGGAAATACTCTACCAATAATTCAGGTAAAGCACCTTTTTCATGATTTTTTTTATTTTTTTGCAAACTCAGCATCATTATGAATGAAAGGGTTTGGCTCTGGGAAAGCATTATGCCAGCCCTCTTGTTAAAGTGATGCCCTAGAATATCCCTCCTTGAGGGATGAGGGCTGAGTCAGTCTGAAAAAAAATAAAATCAGGAAAATTTAATGCATTCTTTTTCCAGAGCAGTCATTCCAGATCTGCCTTTCGAGTGCCACACATCAAGTTGGCTGAAATAGAAAGCTCAGATAGGAGCCGCTCTCTCCAAACATTTCTCAGGAATATTTTTCATTAGCTGATATCATTACACACGCACAATCCCGTCTTCACCCTCACCCCTGTCATGATTTCTTTCATACATGAGGGAGTTGAAGGAATTTATCTGAATTAAAATCTATGCAAAGATAGCTTTAAAAGTCTCTCTAACAGCGGATGCTTTTCTCTTAGAAGCCATGATGGGGAGGCATATGCAGAGTGACTAAGGCAGCCAATTAATGTGTTCTATAAACAGCAAGCACCACTAGAAAAAGGAGAGCGAGAAAGATAAATGAGAGATTTGGGGTGGGGGAGGAAGGGGGAAGGGAGGTTGTAAGTATAAAGTGTTTGCCTTAGGACTTGTCTTCAGTTACAGAGCCAGACTCACATGACTGGAGCTTGGTTTGATGTGGTAATGAAGCATTGATCACAGGAAAAAGATGAAATGGCCTTTGCTCATTCATTATTTTTATCTTCTAGCTGTGGAAGACAGAAAATTGTTCATAGGAATGGTTTCGAAGAAATGTAATGAGAATGATATCAGGGTGATGTTTTCTCCGTTCGGCCAGATAGAAGAATGCCGAATCCTTCGGGGACCGGATGGGCTGAGCAGAGGTGAGTGTGCAGTCTGTAAAGTCGCTTTCCTTAAGTGCTAATTGGGAGCTCTGTCACAGCCAGGGTAGGCATAGCCGCTGTCTGCAGCTAGGGGTTATGCTGTAATACGTCCCACATGATGAAGGTATCCACATGTACTTTTCACAGTGACTGAAATTATCACCTTTTATTTCCAGTGTCAGAAAGGTCTCGGTGCCAACATATTAACTTGTGTTATCGCCCTGTTTGTCAGCTGGAAAGGTTCCTTTGCACCCTGAGAAAACACCCTCAGTTTTCTCCTCTCACAAAATCAAAGATCCTTCCCTGACCCCTTACTGCTTTGTAGCATCAGGCCAAAAAAAAAACCAGCTGTAAATGACTGCTTGAAGGCATACAAGGTCATGGGAACTGGCCCATGTTGTAGCACCATCGCCTCCATTCCTGTGTTTTCTATAACTGTATGCAAAACATAGGTCTGTAACTCAGAAACAAAGAGGTTAGCTTGAACCTGAGAGCTTTGCCTGGACAAAACTTTGTAAAAAGAGCTTTTAAATCTTGTGCCTCTATCACAACCCAAAAAACAGGGCAGAGGTGTCAAGCAGCACCAGCGAGAGCGGTCAAGCAGCTGACCTGAACTTTGGAAATGAAGTGCAGCACAGACTTCAATAGCCAGTGATCCCTTTTGAGTGCAAAAGTGCCTTTTGAGGAGAGGCCCTCTGAAAACAAACTGAAAGGAAAAATAAATGTATATTGATGACCCAGGCTGCATATTAACTCCATGGTATATGGACCTGAAATTATTCTTGGAGCGTGAACTTTCTCAAAAAGTCAATGCCAGGTGGTGCTGAATGGAAAAGAAAATAGTGATAGTCCTGTCTGCGGTGGGGAGGGATGCTGTGGTACTAACCATGGCCATTTAACGGCACAGGGAGTAACGTAATTTTAAGTTTGGAGCTGTGAAAACATCACTTTTGTTTCAATAGAAAAAAACCACATAGAAAGCACAGTTTATGCATTTTATTACATTTTCAAAAGGCACAGAGAAAATAATAGTACCCATTTTGCATATTGATATAGGTATAGATATTTTTCTTTGCTTTTGGATCTACTTGTTTCCAGTAGGCTATAGGATCTGCAGTATTTTGTGCAATAATTTGTTCATGGGGTTTTTCGTTTGGTGTGCAGCCCAGCTTCTTTAAAATGCCTATAAATTTCATCAGGGGAAGTTGCAGGTATTCCTGTATCTCATGGCACTGCCTGAAAACACTTACGATACTGCTTCCGAATATCGACTTGTTGAAAGCACACGGACAATGAATAGGGAGACCCAAGAAAATGATGCACTTAATTTATGCATGTTTAGCCTGCGATCGCAAACTCTTGGGGCTGAGATGCAGAAGTCCCTTCAGGCAAGGAGAGCCTCAGGATCATGGCTTTTGCCTTGGGAAAGGCCAAGGGAGAGGTCTGATGTTGGTTCCTGTAGCTCATGAAAGAACGTTAACTGATGGAGTTGAATGTTGTCATTATCAGCCTAGGCCCAACACTGAGGCAAAACAAATATTTCTGATTTTCATTGCTTTCATTTTCTAAGTAGCACAGGGAAGGGTTGATGGAAGACACAAGTAGGAAAGGAGCTAAGTAACTGCTGCAGTAACAAGATCTGGTCATCAGATGTTTTGAGCCCCAAAAAAGATTTGATTCCACAGCATCACCCAACAAAGATATGGATCTTTGCTGATCCATAGAAATCCCACTGCATACCTGCTTTTATTCAAACAGACATTGGGCATAGTATGAGCCTAGAAAAGCTAATTATGAAATCCAACATGGCAAGTAAGGGTGGTGGGGTAGTTTTGTTCTGCCGTAAACAACAATCTCACGATAATCACAAGATGAGATTTTTAAGCCGTGTCACCAATGTTGTCAGGCCGGGCAGTGTTGTCTGCCAGCCAGCAAAGGCATAATGTGCTGCTCTCTTGTGCTGGAGGCTGAAGATCTCAGTCCAGGTAGGTCACACACCAGTAGTCATAGCAGAGCTGTGTCCTCTCTGCCACTCGGGTTTATTTCGGTCACAATCACGACTGATATTCCATCATGCCTTCATGCATCATGCCTTGTTAAACTTGAATTGCTTTCTACACACCCATGTTCACACTTGAAAATGAGTTCAGCTGTGCCAACCAGGTTTTCAGGCAGATGTTTATCAGTTTCACAAAACCACCACGCCATGAGAGAAGGCAAAGTGTTGGGAAAATGGCTGATACTGCAGATGAAATGAAAAGTGCTAAAGCAGATTTGCAGTGGAGGGAGGTTGGCTGGAAAAGCAGAGTGAAAGCTGCTTCACTAAAGCACGAGGGAGAATTTATACAGTTACATTTTTGATTCAGGTTCCAATACGTAATGAGTTTTAATTCATGTTACTGTTTCCAAGATGTTAATTCCCTTTGCCACCAATACTATTTGTTTTCCCAGCATCCGTCCGGATGTGCTTCCCTCCTAGACACAGAGGGGTGAATAAAAAATAGTCACTGTCATAGGAAAACACTGTCCCCACCATGCCAGAGCCTTCAGGAACTCGCAGTGCTCACAGCAGAGATGGAAATATGGTCCAATAAACTCTGTTTGGCATCTCTTTTCAAGTGCATAACAAATGCGCATCATGGTGTCCTGGACAAAAGGAGCTTGAAAAGTATATTAATTGGTAATTATGCCAACTTTCGAGCTTTGTTAAAGGATCCAGGGAAATGATCTTTATTACCAGCAGATAGTTGCAAGGAATAGCTCCAGGTTACACTGCTCTGTAGAGCGTTTTCGGTTTGTGCTGGGTTTTTTTTTCCTTAGCGAAGAGTAAAAAGGTTTCAGTTGACTTTTAGGCCACGTCTACACTATGACAGCAACCTTACTGCTAGTACGGTAACAGTCTGCTGTCAACTCCTAGGCGAGATGTAGGGTTGTGGTGTAACACACTGTGATGAGTGTGATATAAGTGCTAAGATAAAGAGAGAGAGGGAGAGAGATGGAGCTGGTTGTTTCTATTGTAGTTTCTAGCCAAGAGTTGACAGAACTTTATTAAAGTCGCACCCATAGCTGTCACTACTGATAGTGGACCATCAGCATTTCTACTCCAAATTCCTATTGTCAGCTGTGTGAAACTCCTCTGTAAAACAAGACTAAAATAACGATACAAAGCTCCAGTGGTGGAGCAGCATATTTTAAAGAAACTGAGACTTTTTCCCTTGAGACATTTTTTTTCTCCACTGTTGTTTGCTCCTTCATCTAAGAAAAAATTGTTGTTTGTGTCTGTAACTTGTTATATTCCGGCCAGCTACAAGGAATAGGCAGCAACCGAAAGGCCTTGCCTTCCGAAGGCTCTGGGATAGTCCCTATGAAATTAGTTGGCTGGCAGAGAGTAATTCCTAGCTGTGAAGAGTATTAAAAAATTAAAATACCCTGTTGGCTGTAGAGATAAAGAAACCAGGGACTCAACAGACGTGGAGGCTGGCCTTCGCTTTAGCGGGATTCATAGGACTGTCTAAAGAAGTTTGCCACTGCCTGTACTATATTCATTATTCAAAGAGAAGGATTCAGCCTGCAGGCTTGTTTAATCCAGCACTTTTTCTGAAGAGCTAAGTATGCTTTACAAAAATTCATGATTGTGATATCATGTGCTAAGCTTCATTATCATGAAAAAGCAGAAGCGAACTGCCTCAGATGATTAAGATTTTAAATCACTTATTGTAAACGGCTTAAGGAAACTTTCAGACCTCCTGACTCCTAGCGCTGTGTAATGTCTACATGACCATAGATGCTAACACAGACAGCCATGCAGTGATAGCTGGAGTGTGCAAAAATAGCCAGAAATACCCAAGCTGGATTTGTAGCTGGGCCACTGATGTGCTGTATTGACCGTAGGTAAGTTGGTCTCTCATCATCTCTCTGTTACCCCATTCCTTAAAATGAGGATAGCGATACTCCTCTACCTTTGTAAAATGCCTTTTTTAGATCAGTGGATCAATATCTCTGTATCACTCAAGGAATTATTACCCTCCGTAATGATGATAAAAAAATCCTCTTATCCTTATCACAGGAGCACCACACTGCAAATTATTCTGCTGTATTGCTACGTGCAGATTTATATAACAGATACCAGAAAGAAGTCAACTGGGTCAATAGCATGCACTGGAAAAAACCTGCTAATAACATGTACAGACAGTTGGTTATACCATGAAAATTGTGGAAAAGCTCCAAATGCATATTTCTAGGCTCCTAATTGTATGATTTTTTAACAGAACGTCATCAGGCACATGGGACAAGTGAACATTTCTGCAGACATTGATTACAGGGATTTTTTTTCTTTCATTGCTTTAAGAGCTGGTTAGAAATGGCATGGAGAGTTACACCGTGGTCAGGCAATTTAATGTCATAAAAATCCATTCGTAAGTTTAAGACTGACGTTTTTTCTGGTGATTTAGTAAAAGAAAATTAGTTTTTGCATCACAATTAATTGCAGTGAAGGGTAGGTGAGGAGATTTTATGCCTGTTTGTTTTTTCCTTATGGTTATTTACTGCTCCTTCATGAGCTAAAGTGAAGTGCCAGCCACGGGAACAGCCTGGATTAGGGGCCACCTTCTGACTTGTGCATCAGTGACGGAAAACGAGCGCGGTGGAAATGGTGTATTTTAGTTGCTCTTCAGAAGCACCTCCATGTCTTTATTTCTTTTGCTGTGACATGGTAACATTTTAATTTTTTTCCCGATTATTATGGCACATTTAATTTTCTTTTTGGCCCCTGGAGAAACTCCGTTAAAGCTGGGAAGGAATGAACGTGTCCAAGTGACCAGTGTCTCTGCTGGCCTTTAGCCAGCACCTCTCCATCTCAGATCTTCATTACTGCATCTTCGCAGCAGTCCCTCCCCAGAGGGAAGTCTGAAATGAAATAAGAGGGTTTTATTCCAACAAGAGGGTCATCGAGGCACTGTTAGAGGAAGTGGTCTTTGGTACCCATTTGATTCTGGTTTTGT